GGCGATTGGTCATGTTCGATTGCAGAGCTACCCAGACACAGTCTCGCCGACCTCGACAGAGTTGTCAGAAAGCCTAATTGGGGGTCTTCTCGAAAGATCTGGAACGCATCATAGGCATTCGTAGTGATTGATAGCACGTAGTCGACATGCATAGCAATGATGAGTACATCGTGAGATCTCACCTCAACAAACCATGACAAGCTATCGCTAGGGTACTTGGTACGCATCAATGACCTTCTTAAGCTCCAACCGAGGCTTCCGCTGGGTGATTCTTTACGTTAGTCGTGCGATAGAAACAAGCTTTCGGTTCTGGATGAGCGAAGACACGGCTGAGCGCTGAAAAGTTTGCAAATAACGTATGTGCGGGCAGGCCTGGAAAGGTATTCTAGTCTCGCGACGGCGTTCCTCTCAAGTTCTCGAGAGCAAAGGTCTGACATGTGAACAGACAGTAAACTCATTGTCATGATATCGTTCGTCCGCAAGTAGGCGAAGTATACGAAAACGGACTCCGACTGTTGCCTGCCACAGGGCCGAGGTAGAGCAACGCGGTAGAAACGACGGCTTACCAGGTCACCGGACACGACATTGCAGTAGCAGCGGGAGCCACAGCTGAGGCTCGTCGTATTTCCATGGGTCTAGCAGAGGCCAAGCTTTCGCGTCTTGCTGAGCGGACTTGGCAATCTGCAAGCCATTATTGAACGAGGCGATATTCTCGAACAGCATCGGTGAGACCAGAATGGAAAAGTGCCGCAGAAGTCCCATCTAGTCCTTCGCTACTGCACACTGACAGCCTCAGCTTATCGGACTTGAGAAAATGGCGGCGCCATTGTGAAGACAGCGAAGCAACACGATGGTAGCAGAGACGACGTGGAATTTTCCCATGCAGTGTCAACATTTGCATGCCACGAGTCTATTGGAAAGTTGACAGCGGTTTGTACGAAGGCGTGGAGAGACATCAGAGGCGATACTGCTGACAGGGGTCTGCTGGTGAACAGGGCCCCCGATTTAGTATCACCCTTCTCGCGTGTTCAAGTGCCGTCGCGGGGTGGTCTCGCAGGGGTAAGCGGATGGATGTCGAATTAGCGGGAATTTTCCCATGCTAGATATTTTCCGACGCTGTGTCATGGTCGAGCTCAGCTCGGAATCAATTGCGAAGTAGGTGTGAAGGACAGACTCCACTTTGATATAGCAATTGCATGATCTTGCTACTGTTAGTCCGCGATCGGGCCAGAGTGGGGGTATTCTCGTTCCACCATGTTCTGATCCCGGCGTGGTGCGACAGCTGTTCCATACAATCATCGCTGCGCGGTCCTACGTGGACGTGATAGTAAGAACACTGCATCCAGTGTTGAGGCTCGATATTGTGCGCAAGGCTATCGACAGAATGAGATGCCTTTTGTTTTGTTTCTTGGGTCAACTCCAGTTCGGCGACACAGTCGTTTTGGCGGATTGTGACGGGAGGGGATTTGAAGCTCGTACACGTGATGGTACGACTTGACCAATGGTGAAGCTGTGTAATGAACAGGAAAGACACGAGCCGTGCATTCGGCATGCATGAATTCCGCGCTGATGCTGCATTACGGGGTAGCTGAGGTTAAGCTGTGGAGAGGCGTGGTGGCTTGGAGGACTTCGAATGACAGGCTGAGCGATCTCCACGCCAAGGCCGACGGGCGCTAGCTTAGCGCCGATCGCAGCTTGGTCACAGTCCAGACCTCCCTTTCCGCAGCCTCCATTCAACCTTCTCCGCTTGCGATGAACACACACACACACCAGCACCGGCACACTGGCAAGCAGTCCCCCGGGCGCGGAACTGCTATTCCTGGATCGACGGGACTCCTAAACAAGCCTGGCCAAGTTGACCGGTCTCTCGCGTACCACGATGCACTAGCAATTAGCGCTTCACAGCTCTCACGCTGGCAACAATGTTCAGCCCTAGCAGGGCGAGACTGCTACGAAAGTTTTCATGGAGGGCCTGAATCGTGTTGACCGCTCGTACCCAGCCGTTGTCTAGGCATGTAGAGCGCCATCCGTAAACGAGGACTTTCCTGACTACACCTTTCCGAGTTGAGACTGTCGGTCTTCCCGAAACAGACTCTGCAACTCGTTCGTTGTGCACTCCGCCTACTGGTATCCGTCACGCGGTCGTGGAGAAGAGCAGGGAAGACCTGGGGTTATCGTGGTCGAGAAGATTCAGATGAGTCAAGATTGAGTTCAGCATCACCTACTCATATGCACCATTCGGAGATACTGATCGAATTCATCCCGCACTTGTAAATGGAGTAGTCTCTCATGTTGTTCCATCAGCATGGGCTAGTCATCCTACTGGTCGCCAAGACTCATCAGCTTTCGCTCATCGCCTAGCTCTTGCTCATACCAAGCCTCTCAAGCCATGTCTAGGCATGGATCCCATATTCTCGGCCTTTCCAGGCAGTGGCTTGAAGCAGACTACGATATGGTAAATATCGACACACTCAGGCAACAGTAGCGAGAACGCCGAATGGCGTCTCCTGCCGGCCCTAGACTTCACATCCCATTCTTGTGGGAGTACACTTGCCACGATGAGGGATGGTGAGAACGGGGGTCTGGCCGGATATCATGAAGTAGGCGTATTCGAGATCTTTTAGCTCCTGTATACCATGAGATGGGGATGTATAAAGTGTTCCAAGACGCCAGTGTACAACAGAGCATCAGCCCGATTCACTCATATCTGCTCATCTCCTGATCTTCATCCGCCTTCACTACGCCATGAAGAACTATTTTTCCATTGGAGTCACAGCCCTCTTGGCATCACAAGCACTTGCTGGCGACGACGAGTGGCTCAGCCCAGTCTACAAGCAGATTTTCCAGAACCCGCTTCCTATCCCCCAGGATAAGGCCGTTTCGTACACCTACAAAAACAAGACGACAGGGAATGAGATTGACTTCTATGAGGTCGATGTGAAACCATTCACACAACAAGTATACCCTGGGCTTAAGCCTGCCAACCTTGTTGGATACGATGGAGTATCACCTGGTCCTACTTTCCGCATGACCAAAGGTCGTGAAGCCATTGTTCGATTCAAGAACCACGGCCCCAAGGACCTTTCGGTGCATCTTCATGGTTCCTACAGCCGAGCACCTTTCGATGGGTGGGCCGAGGACACTACCAAGAACGGACAATACAAAGACTACTGTTAGTACCGGCTGTCACTGGCAATGTTCTACATAAATGCTAATAATTCTAGACTACCCCAACAAGCAGAGTGCGCGAACTTTGTGGTACCACGACCATGCCATTCATCACACTGCGGAGAACGCCTACTTTGGACAAGCGGGCTTCTACATTCTCCATGACCCTGCTGAGGATGAATTAAAACTTCCCTCAGGCTCATACGATGTTCCTCTGGCACTGGCCTCAAAGCAGTACAACAGTGACGGCACGCTCTTTGATCCGGCAAGCGAGACCGTTTCCCTCTGGGGCGATGTCATTCACGTCAACGGCCAACCATGGCCTTACATGAAGGTGGAGCCACGCAAGTACCGCTTCAGGGTGCTCAACACAGCCATCAGCCGTGCCTTCAAGCTCACTCTTGAGGACCCTTCCGCCAAGAAAGTTCCATTCAATGTCATCGCCGCAGACACTGGTCTCATGTCCAAGCCTGTGCCGACCGACAACCTTGAGATCTCAATGGCTGAACGTTGGGAGATCGTCGTTGACTTCAGCGCATATGCCGGAAAGAATGTAACGATGAAGAATGCTCGCGACGTACAAGCAGACGAGGACTACAACAGCACTGACAAGGTTATGCGATTTGTCGTCGGTTCTTCCGTCTCCAGCACCGCCGGTAACGGCGCTCTCCCAGGCTCTCTGCGTACAGTACCTTTCCCACCCAAGAAGAGTGGCATCGACAGGAGCTTCAAATTTGGACGCACCGGCGGAGAATGGACCGTCAACGGCGTCACTTTCGCCGACGTCAACAACCGCATCCTCGCAAAACCTCAACGCGGTGCTGTCGAAGTCTGGGAGCTTGAGAACTCATCCGGCGGCTGGAGCCATCCCGTTCACATCCATCTCGTCGACTTCCAGATCCTGAGCCGCACCGGAGGCAAACGAAGCGTTCTTCCCTACGAACGAGAAGCTTTGAAGGACGTCGTCTTGCTTGGCACAAACGAGAAGGTTACCGTCATCGCCCGCTACGCCCCATACGATGGTGTATACATGTTCCACTGCCACAACCTCATCCACGAGGACCACGACATGATGGCTGCTTTCAACGTCACCAGCCTTGCCAACTTCGGCTACCCCGAGACAACCAAGTTCATCGACCCGATGGAGGAGAAGTACCGCTCCAAAGACATCAATGACTACGACGACAAGCACATCGATGAGAAGTGCGCTGAGCTGGAGGCTCTAGAGGCTTACATTGAACCTGAGAAGGTTGAGCAGGCGCTTGTGGAATACTGGGCCAATGGAGGCAAGGGACCAAGCACGCTAGTCACTAGCACTCGACCAGCTTCTTCTTCTTCTTCTTCTTCTTCTTCTTCTTCATCTTCCTCGTCTGCTACAGACGCTGCTTCCTCTACGACGTTACAGACAAGTTCTACACCACCGTCTATAGCTGCGGCTGGAGTTGCTTCTTCCCCTCCGACGATAACTTCAGCGCCAAAGGCGACAAGTACAAGTACGAGGAGGGATGACAAGAAGACATCGACATCGTCCACCAGGAGAAGATAGAAGAGGGTTGAAGGTTTTAGGCGTTGCTTTTCTATTTGTACATAATTTTTCAAGGCGTTCTAGAGGCAGGTGGGATACATATCATGACGACACGACATTCCTTATATAGCGAGATCATTTCGAGAATACTCTCTTCTGAATACACTTCTACTCCATTTCCGCTGATGTGAGCATATAGCCCATGTGGGAAAGGCAATACTGAAATAATCGAAACATGTGTGCTTGGTGATGGTCCTACGACTTGTCACTGGCCGCCGCCTTTGAACAAGGGACTTGTTCAACGCGCTTATACAAGGCGATCAGCAGCCCCCTCCATAGCTCTGCTCACGATAGTTCTGCTCCATCCCGGCCCTCTGCCACGAAACCTGGAGATAGCGTTGAACATCCTACTTTCATCTTTGTTTCCACCAAAGTCCCAATTCTTGTACAGGTTCGAAGCGGCAGCGGGCCCCTCGGGACGATGTCTATCCGGATCAATCCTGTCACGTTCAGGATGTGTGAAAATGTCTTTGCCGTGGAAAAAGTTCACTGGACCCCAATATTCGCCGATATTGGCCTCTTTTTCTGTGTTGACTAGATTCGCGATACAGACATCGCCCGCCCACGTCTTCTCGCCTGGTATGGTCCTAACGGGGCGCAAGTAGTGTTTTTGCATAATGTTGTAGACTTCGCGTAGCTGATCCATCCTCATCGGTGGGTCATCTGGCCGTTTTTTACGTGTTCCAGCTTCGTCGGCGGTAAGGGTCAGAATCCGGAGCGCTACCGATGGTGCTAGGGAGGCTGGGTCAACCATGTCGTTCCAAAACGCTTTCTTGAAGGCGGGGTCGTTCCGGAACATGTCGAGAATTTCCGAGAGGATGTCGCTGCAGAGAAGGACCAGCTTTGGCGTGCAGAAGTTGAGATTGACAGCATCCGCCTCGAACCATAGCATCACCGACCGTAGTACTGCGACAGGATCCCACGTATTGTCAAATTTGTGGAAATATAGCCTGTGGTATGTGTTGCCTTCAGGGCCGACTGCATCGACTGGCCAGTTGAAAAGCCGTATCCGCTCGTTTTCCTGCCTCTTATCGCCAAAACTATTCAATAGACGGCGAGTCGATTCATCAGCTTCCTCGACGCTTATCGGACTATCATGGGTATGAAACCGATTCTCTAGCAAAGAGTCAATGTGGGAGGGAATACGGATACAACTGCTTAGCATCAGGCGTCCGCCAATTTTGCCGATCGTACGGTCTGACTTGCCCTTGATCGCCTCAGTGCAACCGTACAGAGTAAGCTTGAGCTGTCTTTGAGCCTCTGTAATATTCTGCGGTGCTTTTCCGTAGAAGAACCGTTCCGTATCCTGTCGCTGAATGAAGAACTCCAGATCAGGGAAGTGCGGGGCATCAGGAAACAGATTGTGACATATGTTATACAGATGAGCAACACTGAGTACATGGCTATACTCGGCGTCATGACCAATGGCGAATCGGCGCACGAGTGACCTTAGCACGTGTATGATAACGCCACATCTCAGGTGTTGGTCTTGCCAGAACAGGTCTCTACTCGTGACGTAAACAACGAGCGGGCGAGATAAATCTTGTTCCGGCAAACTTGTCAGGGCTTTAAGCAGTAGTTCGCCAACTCCGTCATGGAAGAACAGCACTTTGAGCTGCTTCACGATCTTTTCAAAGTAATCGAAGTGTTCGTCCCTAAGGAGATCGACAAGCGTGCTAGGATGCGTCCTGATCTCCTGGATGATGATGGAGGTCTTCGTTAATTCTCGTCGCAACTCGTTGAGCGGGTCTACCATGGGAGGCTGGGGAAAATCGTTGATATCGTTTTGGATCTGCATAGCAAAGGTAACCCAAAAGGGAATTCCTCCTCCTTTGAACATGTGTCGAATACCCTGTGTCAATCCATCTTCCGCGAAGCGACGTAAGACTGTCGACGTGTCCTCCAGGACGTAAAGCGTTGAAGCTATATCCAACGCATTAATCATATGTGGATGCATGCACAGATCTTTGTACTTCTCTCTGAGATTGTGAACCAAAACAGCTGCTGTTGGTCGCTTTGGAGCACGTTGAACGTCGTAGAGGAGCATTTTGAGACCGTTGTACACAGGGTAGAAGCAAAGAGAGGAATGTGGGCCCATAACAGTAGAAGGGACCGCCATGCGAGAAGGCCGGACAAATCCTTCGAGTGGCTGCTTTGTATCGAGTGCCTCCGAGTCGACCTCTTGATAAAGGAGTAAAGCAGGCAGACACCATACAGGAAATTTATCCGCTGGGTATTGAGGCGGACGGGAAAGACTTTCGTCGAACTCGCGTTCCTTCTGTCGCACGATGTCGATCGCTATGTTGGTAACGAAGGCTTTAGTCATAAGATCAGACTTGCCAGACCAGCGCGCCAAGACATATTTCCGAATAGACTGCATCTCTTTCAAGAAAGTTTTGATGTCTAGGAAGAAGTTTTCTTCCAGATTTGCATCCTCCACGCTGATCTCAACTGATGGAACAGAAGGTAGGTCTTCTACGACCACGGGTTGTCCGGTATTTTCCTCGGCAGCCTCCTCATGATCTTCGGCATCTTCGGTCGTGTGGTGCAATTTGAGCTTTGTAAAGCCTTGCTCTAGTGCTGTCATTTTCGATGCAGTGGACTTTCCGTTTGCTTCCCCATCTCTAGACTTGTGTATACGAGGCCGCAAGATGTTTAGTGTCCTTTGAAGGCGCGAAATGAAAGCGTCATGCTGCTGATCCGCGCAACTTTTGAGTCGATACCAGGCCGTCACCTCACGCCGAAATCGGATAGCCCGAACCAAGATTGTGGGTATGAACGATGGTATGGATATCTTTTGGGAATTATCCACGATACATTGAGCCATTGGCTCAAAGTCACGTTCGTGAACCTCATAAGTGTAAGAGTTATTGGAAGACGTTGGTACAAAGCCGCATTTCTTGGAGGTCTTCAGAAGGTATCCGGCAATGTATTTGGTGTCGCGCTTGTATTCGCTGCGGCTGTATTCGGCTTCTGGTGGCAACAACATGTTGGCAGTCGCTGCCGATATAAGTAAGATGGAAGCGCAGTGGATTGGTTAGACATTACTGTGGTTGTTCACAGATCGTCGTCACCCGTTTCCCCAAGGCTGTGGATGAGAAGTGTGAGATGAAGTAGTACAAGTAGCTTCCACAAAAAATTGGTTCCCGACACTCAATAAACTAGGAATTAAGGAATCACTACAAAAGGTAGACGAAGTGATGAGGATAGTGGAGTGAACGTCTTCGGATGACGCGGGACAATTCCTAGGTCCAGCGCCAAGGCGTCAGTGCAGACCGCCATGCGGAGACCCCAACCAGAGTTTCGAATAGTGAGCGAATCCAACCCCTTCATAGCCAATTCACCAAAATGACGAATCTGGATATGCTGCTGCTCAAAGGAGCCTCTGCGAGTAATCCAGAGGAGGGTCTCCAAGAATTGCGCTACACAATCTTGACCGAAGGCATTCCCGCCAACAGCGAGGGCATGGTATGTTCTCCACACTACCCCATGCGATCATACTGCGCATGGGCGCAATCTAGAATCGCTCAATGAATTCCGTATACTAATTTCTACCGGTCCAGTCCGAGCTGCGCATCTACATCTGGCTCATCCTACTCAACGCGCCTCCTCTTCGCACCGACGTATACCTCGATCTTGTCCGTCAAGGCGCCTCTCCCGCGCACGCCAAAATCCAGAACGACACCTTCCGCACCTTCCAGGGAGATCCCCTCTTCCGACGACGCGTCACTCAGAACAGCATTACGCGTGTGCTCAACGCCGTCGCGTGGAGGCTGAACGATGCGCACGAAGCACGCGTCAATGGCTGGCAGTCCCCACCAACACTATCCGAGTTCGGCGGCAGCCCAGATACCTCGATGATGTCGCGGCATTCCCTCACTGCGGGTACGCGTACAGAGGCGTCGACTACGAACGATGCGGAGCAGATTGGTTACGTGCAGGGCATGAATGTGCTCTGTGGACCATTCTTGTACGCGGCGAGGAGTGAAGTCGAGGCTTTCACGGGCTTCGAACGGCTCATTACATACGAGTGTCCGGGCTATGTGAGAGGATCGATGGAGGGAGTGCACAAAGGTCTCGCGTTGGTGGATAGGGTGCTAGAGGTGGTCGACCCTAAGCTGTATGGCCATCTCATGGCACACCACATGGAAGCCAAGATCTACGCTTTCGCATCCGTACTCACCATGTGCGCATGCACACCCCCGTTACCGGAGGTGCTACAGCTCTGGGACTTCCTTTTCGCATACGGACCACATCTGAACATTCTGTGCATTGTGGCTCAGTTGGTTCTGATCCGAGGGGACATCTTGAATAGCCCAAGGTGAGTACAATCTACACACATATCCGAAGCAAGACTGACGTATTCATAGCCCCAACACGATCCTACGTAACCTGCCTGGTCTTAACGCTCAGAAGATCGTCGCCGTGGCTATGAGCTTCGCCGGCAAGATACCTGAGGACATGTACGCTGAGATCATCAACCACGCAAAGTGAGCTGGTGTAGAACGGGGAGACTGAGATATGACACTGCGGTTACGATGTATGATACGACTTAACGATTAGATGATACCCACGAGAGATAGCTTGCGCACAGCAATGTATGAATGTTATGATTAAAACCCGATTCTTCTAGTTGTGAAACTGTTGAACACTATGTGCATGCGAGCAAAATGCGGAATTGCTGTTACAACGATCACGGCAACGCTCATGGGATGTCAGCATCATCGTCATCCCCACCAAAGCCAAAGCTAAACCCTCCGACTTCTTCCTCCTCGTCTCCCTTCGTCAGCTGCTCCCACTTGCCCTTTCCCTTCTTCCCCTTCCTTTCCAACTCCGCGAGGCCCTCCTCCAGCAACTCGGGATGCTGTTCCTGGAGTCGCTCTACGAAAAGCTCATAGGCGCGATCACAGACATCTTCCTTGAACCCGCTTACTTCGCCGCGCTGGTCACGCAGGAAACCTAGTACATCAGGCAATTTCTTGCGGGGTACAAAGTTCTGCGTCAAAGCGAGGCTGTCTTCAAGATTGAGCACTAGGTGGAACCAGCCGGACGGTACGTAGAGGACTTCACCAGCGTAGCAAATGCCTTCTTTGCAGCCGGGCGTTTGGCGGGCGAGTTCATGGAAAGTGAGCATGTATTCTGCGATGCTGAGCGGAGAGGTGATCTCGGATTGATCGTCGCTAACGATGACACCGGGTGGAGGTTCGATGCCTGGGCCGGCGGGGAACATGAGCCAGTACTTGCTGCCTGTCAAGATTGCGTTCCATGCCGAAGTTGCGTTTGGATCTTTGTGGAACGTAGAGCCGCTGCGCTTGGGACCCATGATCATCCATCGGCAGTCCGGTCGGTGTTCACCTAGGACACTGAAGAGATCGTCACCGAAACATGTTGGGCTCCAGTATGCGGCTTCTTTGGAATGTGGTGCCGCTGTTATGTCTACACCGGTCTTCTCGGCGAATGCGCGATCGAAGAGGTACAGGGGTGACTCGTCGGCGTTGTCGTGCATGTAGGACATGTACTTCTTCATGGGCCAGTCTACTGCTTCCGCGCGGAATTTGGTTTCTGGGAATTTCTCAAGGAGGTACTCTGGCGTCCAGGTACCGTATACAGGCCATTGCTTGACAGGTGTAGTGAGCACAAAGGGCTTGTCCACCCAGGTTTCGGCGTACTCTTCGTAAGTCAGATCTGATAGTCGGGCTATCTCATTGTGTTTCGGGATTTTGACCGCGTAGGAGTTTAGTTCTGTGTGGGCGCACTGAAATGGTCGGTAAAGAGTGTCTGAGAAGAGGTTGGTGCATGATATTGAAGTGACGTGCTCTCTTGGGATCTTCAGATAGGTTGCTCGCCAGGTCCCACGCCACTCAAAGTCTTCAGCTGGGGAGCTGTTTGATTGTTAGCATTCGATTGGAAAAAGTGTGATTGTCTGGTATTTTCAACGCAAGCAAACGAGTTATGCATGTTGAGCCAGGTATAAAGCAGAAGCAACGCTCTATTCCGTTGGGAAAATGCAGTTTCGTATATACCACGAACTTACGCATAATCGACTTGAGTAACAATCTACCACTCGGTTCCGGGGAAATTTAGAACGCCCTAAGATGATCTCGTCTCCTGCACCTCCACTGCCGAGGCGCGGTCAGGCGTGCAGGCACAGTCATACCGATCCAAGAGAGTTTACAAGGAACGCCTTCCTTCACATACACCGCCTGACCGATTACATGACTGGACGATGACTGGAAACTTAGGGATGACTGTATACGAAAAAGATGGGAAATGCAATATGTTGTGTATAGCAACCGTGGTACTCACCTTACGAACAAAGCCCGCCATAATTCGTCCAACCTCGTAAAGGCATACAAAGCGCGGCATGTACTCCCCAAGCGTATCAGAACGTCAGCTTCGAATGACTCAAAGATGTGGCTCAGTAGCTCATCGGGTAAGCTGGCGAACAGTCCGCATCTCGATTTGATATTCTCGGACGCAGTATACGCATTGCCGGCCGGCTTGATACGCAGAGGATGCGAGGGGACTGCGATTGCCGCCACCGCCACATCATCGTCGTCGCTCTCAACTTCAGTCGCCACAGAAGTCTTGACTCTTTTCGAAGGTCGTGATTCGACAGTGGCAATGCCGGGGTGGTCCAGGATGCCGGGCGCCATGTCAAAGATGGACCGGGCACGATGCTTGGTGTTTGCTCAGCGCAGACGTTTTCGCGGCTGCAAGTGGTCTAGGAGGCAAACCAAGGGACAATGAACAGAGTCATAGGCTGACACTGGAGCGAGCCAGTGGAAGTGAAGGCGGACCTAAGGTGGGAGCCGTGGGCGCATTTGAACTAGCGTGCTTTTGGCACTAGCACACTGCTGAGATTTTTTGTGGCCGACCTCTTAAGCCAAAAAGCGCCCACCTTCTCTGTCCCTCCATCACCAAATCCACCACACAACCAATACACACACTACCCTAGATACCCATTTGATTCTCTTGCAGAGGATCTGGTATCTAGCTTTTACTACACAACTTTTACACACGCGGCGGCATCCAGAGGATCCTCCGCTTTAACCCCGCCACGAGCAACACTTCGACTACGGTCCCGCACCAGTAGTCGCTCCTTCCAGTCGCAATCATGGCTGACAAAGGTCTTGAGGACGTGCCCGAGGGTGAGTTGTGCCCCGAGTGCTGTCCCGCCGCTCCTCGAAACTGCGCGCCCCGCAGTGCGAGGGCGGCGGCGACGATAGCCTCACCTGCAAACATTTCTGCGAGCCCAGGCTAACCCACGCGCAGGCCAGATCGAGTCCAACTACGATGAGATCACCGACTCCTTCGACAACATGAACCTGAAGGCTGAGCTCCTCCGTGGAGTCTACGCCTACGGTTTCGAGCGCCCCTCTGCTATCCAGCAGCGCGCCATCATGCCCGTCATCAAGGGTACGTTTGCCCACCCCCACCACCGCACAACCCAACAAGCGACTGACATATTTTAGGCAACGATGTCATCGCCCAGGCCCAGTCCGGTACCGGTAAGACGGCTACCTTCTCCATCTCGACCCTCCAGAAGATCGACTCCAACGTCAAGGCCTGCCAGGCGCTCATCCT